CGGTGGTCCTAATGCTCCGAGTATTAATTGCGGTTCGCGAACTTCTGTGGGAAATCAAGTCCCAGAATTCAAGAGAACATGATCCGCTCGGTGATTCTCATATCCCTCGCAGCTCTTGCTCTTGCGGAAGTTGAACTCGTTTGCGACGGTGAAGCTCTCGGAGCTAACCCTTACGCTTCCTTGGAGTTGGGAGACCGCATCTCGTGTGTCTGCAGGAGAGACAATCGCTGTGGCAGACTTAGAGCAAAAGTTTTTGATAACGGCGCCATCTTCACGGCTGGTAAGATGGGTTTCGCAGTTATCGAGATCGAGGATGATCACTTCGTATTTTTCGATGGACATGAAGTGGTCGACGGCCTTGTGAGTTACCCGGTCAAGGAGGAACAATACCTTGTGTACGTGCATTGCAAAGACATGGAACCTGAGCCGAGATACGTGGAGTTCCTCTCGAAATCTAATGCGACCGAGTCTGCTCTGTCGGAGCTGAAAACCAAGTACGGGATCGACATCAGCCCCGATACAGTCGATGAAAGCTGCTGAAACCAGTTCAGTGGATCCCTCGAGATATGGGAGGGTCGGAAGTTACAGAAGAGAAAAATTTACGGGGAAGTTCTCCTTCCTGCTCCTGGGAGGTTATCGTGGGATTGAAGCCGGACGGCCTTATTCTCCTCCGACTGGATCATCGCTATCATCTAAGGAAGTTTCGAATAATACCTATGTCGACGTTTGCAAGATGCTTGAGGCTTCTTCAGTTTTTCCGCTCGGAGGGGAAGCGTACTCGGGGAATAGCTGGTGATCACCCGACGCTTTCCTTGAGGAGTAAACGAGTGTCCCGTCTCCAACTCCTACTGACAGATACAATGAGTCGGTCCATGTCTATGGCAGTCAGTGGAGCTCAACTCTGAAATATTCACCCACTCGGAGGGACAAGTTGTTTGAGGCTTCTCCAGTCTCGGGTAGACTGACAAGTCAGCAGAGTGCCAGTTCGTATCACGCGATCGTAGGATGGCTGCCCTCACTGTATTCTGGCGGATGAAATGCCCTCCAGCCCCCAGCACGTCAAGCAGTAGTTGGACTCAAAAGTTGGTCGAAAAAAATCGTCGGCATCGATGCATAATATGTACTTCTAAAGGATGCGACAGCCTCCAACCTCGTCCGCATGCCGCTTATGTCATCTACAAACCCAAAATTGCGCACCATCCAGAGAGATGAGAGGAATTGGGGGAAGAGTTCAAGCATCTCGGCGTCAAAGACTATCAAAGCTGTTGACAGAGATACTCCGAGAAGCATGATCTGTTCCGGATACGGAATAGGAAGATGAGTTTTCTGGGAAGGAGTCAGTATTTTGTGGGGTAGCCACCATTTCTGATGACGGCGATGCATCTCCGTCCCATTGACTGGACTAGGTTCTCACAGACCTCCTTCGGGGTCTCGCTCCACGCCTTCTCGACTGCCAGCCAGAGTTTCTCGACGCTAGAGCATTCGCTGCGATCAATGAGACGATCGACAACGTCCCAACGATTCTCGATCGGATTCAGGTCCGGTGACTGAGCTGGCCGTTCGAGGAGACAGACGTCCTGATCGTCAAAGAAGCTCTCCACGATCCGACATGTGTGCTTTGGGTCTTTATCTTGTCGGAAGATACGGAGCGGCATGTTCTTCCCTGCATACGGTAGCATGACAGTCTTCAGGATGCTTTTATAAACTTCCCCTGTCATGATTCCCTGGATGCGATGGATCGGACCCACGCCGTGACTCGAGAAACAACCCCACACCATGACGCTGCCTACCCCGTGCTTGACGGTCTTGACCGTGTGACGAGGGTCGTCTTGCGCACTTGGCGGCCGGCGAACGTAGACACGTCCATCCGAACTCAGGACTTCATGATGGTGGCCGAGACGTCCACGCCCACGCTTTTCAACATCTCCACCATACGGGTGGCAGTGAGGAACGGATTTTTCCGGCTCTCCCGAATGATTCGTCGATCCGTTTCCGCTGTTGTCGCGCGCGGCCTGCCTCTCGTCTCTTTCTTCTCGGAACTCCGATTCGAACTATTTAAGCTTTTGAAAACATTCTGCACCTTTTTCCGGGATACCTGCATCAACTTGCTGATGCCGTCCATTGAGTGGTCTTCCTCCTTTAGGCGTATCATCAGGCGGCGCTCGTGTGTTTGCCCCGACCCATTCTCGAAGAGACTCTCGATGTGGAGATTCGCTTCTCAATTTCACCGGCCGTGATGGATTGGTGACTGCGTCGTCACTCGTCACCGTAATGCAACGAACTTTCATAAAACTAGCCCCCAATGGTGCACCTTTTGGAAGGAAATTCTGTAAGCGAGCCCCATTTCGTGTTCAAATGTGGCATGTCGGTTACGAACATGCGACGACTGACTACATGTCACGTTTGGAATCGTGGGATTTTCAAATACATCCTCGCACTTCCGGAAATCATCCTCAAATCAATTCTGGAGGGTTCGATGTTCGATTCCCCGCTGCGTGAGAGACGATTTCATGCCCCTCTGGATTTGAACATGCAATATACCAATGGAGGTGGCGCTATTTTTGTGCTCTCTCACACAGAATTTCGGAACGCCTGTCCCTGCAGCATGCTGCGGTCGAATCGCGAAGTGCGATGGGTTGATGGAGCAGTCATCCTCGAGCTACAGAATGCCGATCTTATTTGATCGTCACGATACCCGGATCCGTAGCCACGGGGCTTCGAAAATGAGAAGACGATATTCGAGAAGATTAAATTTTGAGCGGTAGTTGCTGCCTGATCGCTACAAAATGTGTTGGCAAAGGGATGTCCATCGGACAGCGGCTGGACAACAACGTCGAAACTCTGTCCACTCTTCATCGTCTCGTCTAGATTCAGCGTCTGAGGTAGAACGAGACGCTCTCTTCCGCCTGGAGGAAACGCACAGTGAGCGGAACCAGAGTCTAGTTAGGATTCCATAGACAAGCTGCGTGTGCGATGACTCACTCAGAGGAGGAAGGGCCTGGGAAATTCTCCGGCCGTATGCAGCGTGGACCGTCCGGGGTCCATCTAGCTGAATGAGCGAAGAATTAGGACTGCAAGCTGCAGGCAGGTTCCGATCGCGTGTGAGTAATGTTCCAGTGATGCGTTATCTGCCAAGCAAAGCATCCGCGGTCCGATCGTACTTGTCGCCGTACGGGAGAGATCGCCCGCAGGCCTTAAGAGCCTCAGCAAAGATCATCGGTATCATTGTCGCTCTCCCATAAACAGATTTCGATCCTGTTCAATTACATTCACCGTACTTCCTGTACGAGTTTTCCGCAGACTCGAGATACTTATGATTGAACAGTATCTTGACAATATGGATAATCGTACAAGGAGCACGGCGGGCACGCGCAGAACCTCACGAGCCGAATTTAAGGGTAGTTTTTGAAGCTTATGCTCAGAAGCTACTCTTTGGACCTTTGCTCTCAGAAATGACGTTCGAGTTCGGTTCGAAGTCGACGGTGCTTGCGTGAGATCATTCACCTGCGTCCCAAGGAGTACAGTCTAAGGCTTCCTTATGAGAGAATTGTGTGCCCTGTCAATCTGATTCAGCCAGTGAACCGTTGGTGGCCTTGAGTACGTTCTAGCGCCTTAACGAAGATTCGGAGACCGAAGAGCGGATATTGACATCTGGATGAGTTACTCGAGTCAGGCTCGGACTGATCCTTCAGCGGAGCCCGTTCAGGATCCTACAGGGTTTCAGTAAGTACTCCCATCATAGCGCGGAACGATACCATTGTTTTCGCGATCAGCTGGTATACACCAGCTGTTCCACGGTGCTTGCCTAAGAAGGTCTCACAGTTTCTCGGCGCCTTGTGAACTTCCCAGAGGTCATTCAGCCTTCTGGCTGGTCCTGCTTCCCTTAAGAGTCTATGGCTAAGACTCGGTCTCAATTCGTGATTCCCCGGCGGGACAAGGGAAAATGCTCTGCTTTCTGTGATCCATCATCTCAAGTCCAAGTCCATCTGGATCTCGGACTCATCAATAACGAACCCTTCCTCTCATCCCGTGCGGAATCAGCTGCCGGAGTGGGCTCGCTCCGAGCCCATTCAGAGGATCTTTTGAATCTGGGAATCCGCGATGACGGGTCGTTATCGCTAGAGATTTCGAGCAGATCTCTTTGGATTCTAGATCCATCCATCCATACGCGTGAGAGTCGATCCATGTCTTTCAGAGTCAGCCCTAGCAATCAGCTCAAGAATCCCGTCTCCCAAGGCGTGCATCTTCCGACTTCTTGCTCGCTCGCTCACGCCCGCCGTCTCAACCCTTGACTGTAGTCTCAGGGCGCCTTCGGCCGCCAAAGTGACCGTGAGCTATCGCCTGCTCGGAGCGAATTCGGATTAGACCTGAATTGAGGTCCGGGAGTCTGTTGTGCTGGTCGACCCACGAGAAGGTTGCAAAAATTATTATCCCTCCCATCGAGATTTGGGAATGCAGGGCTCTGGGTGAGCTCTAATCATCCGTCACCTGGATGATGAGACATTCCACATGCATTATGTGAACTTCGTCCGCTCAAAACGAAGAGCCTTCGCTCGCCTGCGGCATACAGAGTCGCTACGGGGAGCTTTTGAGGGAGGCTGAATTTGATATGAAAAAGTTGTGTATAGCGCTTTCCCTCTCCCATAAAGGGTTGCCCGGGCGAGCTGCCATTACATCAGCCGGGCCAGGATTGATCCCTTTCAGTTTTCGCGATGCGTGAATCTCGGATTTGATTTCCTCCCGCCGGTTAGGTAAAGCGCTCACGGAAAGTCGTCTGGAATATCCGAAAGTGTCCGTCGGAAGAGCGACATGGTCAGGAAATCCGCTGAGGAGGGACCTTTATCTTCCGCAGGATCATGGACAATTCGGCTATCGTGGGTCTCTTCGGAGACGATGACTCGCTCTCTCCGTGCTCTGAAGATGACTACGAGGCAACTTCATCCTCGATCTCACCTGGGTCGACATCCGCACCGGCCACGCCTCCATCCGGGGTCGTGTGTATGCTCCCACCCGAGGACGCGGAAGGCAATGTTGAGTACAAACTGAAGCTTGTGGACCCCAGCGACAGTCGATTCGAGCATCTTGTCACCCAAATGAAATGGAGACTTCGCGAGGGACAAGGGGAAGCAATCTACGAAATTGGTATGACTCCGCCGATCTGTAACTCAATATAATATCATGTATGGGACATGATATTACAACCTTGAGGAGTTGGATGAGGTCTCCGCTCAACAGCATTCATTGACCCACAATATTGCAGGTGTCGAGGACTGCGGAACCGTTGTCGGTCTCAACGCCCGAGAATTGACCGCCTCTTTGAGGACAATCGATCGCATGGCCGAGAAGCTCGAAGCCGACGTCACGATACTTCGACAAAAGCCCGTCAGGGACAATTTGACGGCCGCTCAGATTCTCGTGCGCAAGGTTCCGGACGATCAGCAAACAATCGAGCTCCGGATCGCGGTTTTGGGAAATGTCGATGCGGGGAAGAGTACCCTCCTTGGCGTTTTAACGCAAGGCGACCTCGACAATGGCCGAGGCCGGGCGAGGTTGAATCTATTCAGGCACCTGCACGAAATACAAACCGGCCACACCTCCAGCATATCAAGGGAGATTCTGGGTTTCAACTCGAACGGTCAACCTCAAACGTACAAGCATTTCCGAACAGCTGAGGAAATTTGCGATAACTCCTCAAAGATCATTACATTCATCGATCTCGCCGGCCATCAGAAGTTTCTCAAAACAACCCTCTTCGGTCTGACGGGACACTCGCCTCACTACGTGATTCTCCTAGTACCTGCCGTAAGCGGGCTCACGGGAACTGCCCTGGATCATCTAGCCCTCGTCCAAGCCCTGCAAGTGAGTGACGGCCGCCGGACCCGTTTTATGTGGATTAATATACACCAAAAGTTCTATCAAATATCGCTGAATTCCTCCTGCTACCATGACTCTCTGAACAACGACTTACTTGCTCCTAAACCGTACACCGACCCATTACAGGTTCCCGTGATAGTGGTTGTCAACAAAGTAGATACCGTGAGCAAGAATAGAATGCTTGCAACCTTGGCCCAAGTCGAACAGCTGCTCAAGGAATGCAGGAAGATTCCGATGGAGATCCTTAATCAAGACGATGCGTTGACCGCCGCCCAGAGTCTCCATTCTGGAACCGTTTGCCCGATTTTCATGACGTCTTGCGTGACCGGCATCGGCCTCAACCTGCTCTACGCGTTCCTCAACGTCCTTCCGACGCGACACACGGTCAAGGAGCGGGAATGTCTGATGCAGCTTTCGACGTTCTTCCAGGTGAATATCTCTCGGGAACTGACAGATTAGTATTTGACTCCGAGTGATCTGGATCCCTGCGAGAACCTTTAAGTTTCTCGACTCTGAGCGATTGCCTCTTGCAGATCGATGAGACCTTCGACGTGCCTGATGTCGGTCTCGTCGCCGGTGGGCTACTGACGCAGGGTCTCATTCGCGAAGGAGATGTCCTACTCGCGGGACCCGATTCTTGCGGGGATTTCCAGCGAGCGCGCGTGACGAGTCTTCAACGAAATCGAGTGCCATGCCGTATGGTACGAGCTGGAGAAAGCGCAACGCTCGCGCTTGAAGTCACGCGGCCTCAGGCGATCCGTAAGGGAACCGTCCTGTGCTCACCCAGCGGGAGACCCGTTGCCGGGATGTTGTTCCAAGTAGGATTTTTTTGCGCTTCTTTTCACTCAAGGGATGTCCCCGGCATTCCTCGCAAGCTGATGAGTTTAATTTGTTTTCCAGGCTCAAATTCGCATTCTCTGCTGCGACGACGATGATCCATTCAGGGTCGGTTACCACACCACGGTCCAGGTGGGAAACGTTCAGCAAGGGGCAGTTGTCGCAGGAATCCGTGGTCGGGCGGAAATGTTCGCTGACGATACAGGGCTTATTCTGTTCCGTTTCGCAAGACATCCTGAATGCGCTAGTCCAGGAACGAGATTTGTTTTCCACAAAGGCGCGACACGAGGCATCGGCATAGTCAAAAAAGTCTATCCGTTGACGCCGCAGGAGGCCAATGTGTGAGTGGCGTGGATGTTCTGAGAAAATCGAGCCCAAAGCATAGCGTCTGATTCACTTCTGCACCGACCAAAGACGCCATGCCGTTGAAATGTGGGCATTCCGTAACTGGGAAGTTCTCCGACAGCTTCCATGGTGAATGCATGACGGAGGGTAGGTCGGAGCCTGGAATCATGTCGGGAAAGTCTTCCATTGAATCTCGGCTCGCTTTCCGAAGGTCTCCACTCTACACCAAATTACGTCGCGGCTCGTTGTCATAATAGTTCGGGATGGAATTTGGAGCCTCGGGCACTTCAGTGATATTCAATTATTGGCTCTAATGATGTAGTACTGTAAATGAGTACAGTTCGAGTCGGACTTGTACATAATATATCACATTCAGGCGTCTTCTGCATGTACAGTTTTTGGCGCCGAGCAGCAGACGGCTGTTTGCCATGTGATTCCTCTCACCCTGCGGTCTCAAAACAACCATTTTCGACCGTGAAATTCACGCGATCCGATGAGCCTCTCGGAATGAAGCTCTCTCTCATTCCTGGAAGTCTTTCGCTGGATCGCTCGTGCCGTGCAGTAGGGAGAAAGGAACACGACAGACCGCTCGATGATAACTGATCGCGGAACACGGCACATGATGACAGCTAGGATAGAGAATAGGAGGCAGGAGAATATCTTGCACGAAGAGTCGATCCCCTTGAATAAACCTCTCTTTTTCCTTCAATCAAGATTAATTCCTCAATGGACGCTCTCAATATTCGAGTGGACACTATTCTTGCTTATGCCGACCAGATCCGACTGTTTTCCGAATCTGCAGCCCAGAACTGTCCGACCGGTGATGGAAGTGAGCGGAGAGAAGTCGCCCCTTCGTGGGAGTGGTTCGCCTTCGCATGGGACATACCGTATGACCCCCTATAACAACACATTCGGATCGAGTCTTGAGGCATCCTGTCCAGACGAGTCGTAAATTCCGCTGACATCCTGATTCTTGTGACGAGAACGGGGCCGATCCCTACCCTGCTCTGATTGCATGCCGTTCTCCCATGGAGTCCCCCTCCATAGGTAGAGACCGTGAGCCGGGAGCTTCTCATCGTATGCTCATCTCAGTTTCTGTTTTAGGTATTCAGAGGAAGAAAGGGAGAGAGTTGAAGACGTGAGACAGCTGCGGAAGACGAACGAGCCGCGCGAAACTCCGGAACCGATATCCGATATCTAGCTATTATTTAAGCACCAACCATCCCCAGCAGGTTCGCTTTCCGTTCGGCTACCACTACTCTGTCAAGGGTTTTCTTGGCCGGATGCAGGTCAGCCTAGCGCTCACGGGCTGACATCGAGAGCTTGAATTTGCCAAAAATTCCAAGTCGGGATCCCATTATAGGGATTTCTCTCTTCGCTCCTATCGGCAACGGCTTCAACCCCAGCGAGAGCTCTTATTGCCGTATCGCCGTACGGCTCCTCAAACCAAAGACTTCGAGTCTCGGTGCTCTCCTCGGCGATTGAGTCACTTTTCTCGTTGAATCGTTGTGATGACTAATTTTCCAGGAACGAGTCTCTCCGTGGGGTTATGCGTGAATCCGCATGACCCACAGAATTACACGTGAGGCGCTGTTCTGATCCGCGTCGAACGGGTCGACGCACCGAATGTCGCAGAATCCTCATCCGGCTCCTTAGTCCGGAAGATATCGATCGCGAGTATCGGTGCCGCGGGTTTGCATCCGGATCGAAGTCGGGGATAACCGATAGAGAGGGCGGGCAGGAATACGTCTGGATAAATCCGGGAAGATTGAATCTGTCACATCGATTCTCCTTCGCTACGATCTCAGTTATGCGCCAATCATCGTCGGGACTTTTGTCCCCGTGCGACGCACCGCCAGACGGAATTCGCTCGAACTCCCTCGATTTCGGATCAGGAGGGATTCCTCACGAGTCAAAGCGCTCCCGACCTCCGAACAAGCATTTCGAGTTCAGAACTTACGGTGCAGAGATGCCAATCGAGCTTCGGCGCCAAGTTTCCGGAACGCTGTTGAGCTTCAGGCTCAATCGACTCCTTCTCCTCAGAGTTTTCAGGTTGGAGCCCGTTCTGTTGCGCGAATGCAGTGTTCTTGTGCGTAGACCCGCGGCGCCGTACTCAATGTGAGACGCAGGGGTGGCAACGCAGTCTTCGTTTCTAACGGGCACTGAAAGAGCCGCTCACGTCCTTGACCAAACCCCTCTCAAGGTGTGGGCGTGAAGCCAGCCGACGTGACGGCCTTGCCTTACTCGCCGTCTTGCCAAAGCCTCCCCGAAGCCTTCCCGACCCAAGCCCTATTTCATTCCCTCTCCTTATTCCTAACCCCCTATCTTATACTCCGTCGGCGTTGTATGAATACAAATGAACGAAGGAGGCTGTGCCGTCATGCCGATGGATCATGTGCGGATACGAGCAGGTACTTTTTCGGGGTTTCGAAAAGCGATAATTTAACCCTGCTCATAATAATAATAATAATCGCTCCACGGAGAATCCTCCGTTCCTCTTGCGACAGAACGAAGGTTCATCGCCCTGCCTCTAGTTCACAGCTCGAGCAAACCAATGTGTTGACACCTAAATCGGGTCCCGGAACTCACCTATCCTATGGGGTCCACAGATATCTACGTAAATTATTCGGAATGTGGATACGGGTCGGGAGAAGTTTATTTTGACCTCAAACAAGCACCTCAACGATTCCTTGTTCCCCTTCACAGAGGAATAGAAGCAACGGTATCTTTTAATTGTGGAATCCTTCGCTGCTTATATCTAGAGAGATAAGAGCCTTTATCTCAGGTTCAGCCTCACAAAGCAGATCCGGGGAGCCGAAACCAAGTTTATCGGTCTGTCAGTACAAGACAGATTCATTGGTCGATAAGAGTGCTTCGCCTTACGTCCTCGCTGCCATCTGTCGTCGACGAGATGTGAGCGGGCCCTTGCGAGGGCTCGCGCGATTCCCGGAGAATGAGTCAGGAACTTCAGGTCCACCAGCCGGCCATTCTCTCGCTGCGAGAACCGCTTTCCCGCCTTCGTCGTTTCCTCGTCGGTGTCGCCGTCGCCGTGAGCCAACTCACAGAACGCCGGATGTCGAGCAATTCGCCCATTGATGCGCAAATCACACTGACTTTTGTACGTTTTGCTTCGGGCACAGCTCGGAGAGTCATCTCCCGAGTCGCCGTGCCAGGTGAAGCTAGCGATAGATACAGGAATATGGTATACTAATTAATCCGCACAGAGAGCTGCGGAGCTTACCTTAAGCAGTCGACGGCAGCGGTCGCGCTCGCTTGAAGTTCATCAAGCACCTTTCCGGAGAAGACCGATTCTCGGAAGCTCCTCTGCGGGAATATTCGACTAGAGACGTCTCTGGCGTTGAGCCAATGCGCTAACGGCTGATTACCCGCTCGGTCATTGCTCTGCTGCTGACGGAAACCTGCGCGCGGGGTCCGAAAACCCGAATGATGACGCCTTGACTCCGGCAGGGGACCCTTGAAGGAAGCGATTCAATTTTGTTTGTTTCTTCAATACCTCTCGAGATTGACACTCGCAAATCGACGTGAGCGCAACCCGGTTGAACCTACCTTTCAATCTGAGTGGGAAGACGTCGAGGGCGCAGCACTCCGGCGCTCGAACGGAAGGAAGAAATTGCAAACAATAGTTTCCTTCTCTCTTCAGCGTGTCGAGTCAGCTCCAAGCTTCCTTTTCCGGTGCCGAATACCTGCCTGAAACACACCAGAGGAGGGCCGGTGGTAAATATTTCACGCGTCGTTGCGTCTTCCTTAGGTCTCTTCTCTAGGACCGAATAGGGCTGGGAGCAAGAGCAGGCGTAAACTGTCTGCCACATCCGTCACTGAAGCTAGATTGGCATCTGGCTTTTGGCCTCTGAGGCCGGGCAAGCGGCCGCCTTCCCACCCGTTCGCTAACCCGCTCGAGCGACCGACCGGCGGACCGTCGGCTCGTCCGTTCAACCTCGATTGTCTGGAGCTGCGCTATCCCACCACCCAAGTCCCCCCCCCCCACTTCCCTTCCGAGCCCACAAACGAGGAGCGGGCCGAACAAGCTCGGGGGAAACCGCCGCAATCAAGCATGGATAAGGAACTTCTCGATTAGGCTCGGAATAATTAGGGACACACCTCAAGATAAATGGCCCCCTTGTTCAAGGACAAGATTCTCGGAAGAGTAAACTCCGAATCCCAGTCGCGAGGCAAATAACGTCCTACACGTCGGTGCGCACAAGAGGAGCTCTGTCGAATCGCAACATACTGTGCAGAGGGCTTCGGTGTATACTACGGGGGTATTTTGCAGCCGGATGCTCGGTGGTGCTGACATGTGTTTTTTCCAGTGGTGGTAACCTTGACTGTGTCGCGATTGGTATGCCAACTATGAGAATGTCATGGAAACTTGTATATCTGGTGTCTCGGAGCAGAAAAAAAAACATTGCTCCCGCGTCATATCCACGAGAAGCCGAGTCGCGATGTTCCGTCGACTCTGTCTTCGTCGTCCGTTAGAAGACGCTGTTGGGAGAACGACGGGGTGAGCCGCCCTGTCAGCTGCACCTGACTCTTCTATTCCCTTTTTTGTTTTCCCCCTGCTATCTGCCGCATTCGCCCCTTGATTTTCCGTCTCCCTCCTTTCTGATGTCGGGAGATGCGACGTCTAGCGCCGCTTTGAATGAGTCGGTCTCGAAGAGCGACGTCTGACTATACATACCGATGGGTTCGACTGAACGTCTGACACTCGACGCATTCCGGGGGTCCATCTCACTGCGAGCAGTTCTGATCCGCCTTATTTTCGTTTGCCGTTTCGCTCCACATAGGAAGTGTCGACCTGCTCCAGGGCCTCTCGAGGTCCCGAACCTCTCTTCGTAAGAGTTGTCTCGAAGGGCCGGTCGAGGATCAAGCCGGGCTAGCGCAGCTGGTACTGTCGCTAAATTCGCTGACATTCCTCCTTTGGTTATGCGCTTCCTGGGAATCGTCAGGGATCGAAAAAATACGAACGACCTCATCAATGAGACTTATCGGAGCAGACTACTATTCAGAATCATCTCTGTGAGCATGTACGTACCAATATATTCGCTGCTAGCGAAACACGGGCTATCGAGATCGTTCCGACAGTCCTTGAACGACGCGAGTGCGTTCGATTCTGGATTCCCAAACGATCTTACAATCCCTCGGTCATCACAATGACCTCAATATGCGCCCGCGATCGCGTGACTTGAGACACGTACAGCTGATTTGGATGCAAA